AAATTAAACTAAAAGATCCAAATATCGAAGTTAATGTTCCTAATAAAATACAATATACTCAAAGAGATGTAGAAGAATTTCTAGTAGAATGTGGAGATTTACTCAGTAAAATTATTATTCGAGAAAGTAAAAGTCCGCATAGTGCTCCGACATTCTATGTAGAAAATAATAATGAAATTAAGAGGGGAAAAAGACTTATGGTAATAAATTACAAAAAACTTAATGAACACACTATAGGAGACAGTTATAAATTACCAAGAAAAGATTATATTCTGGAACGATTGAAAGGACAAACTTGGTTCAGTAGCCTAGACGCTAAATCAGGATATTGGCAATTAAGGCTCCATGAAAATACAAAACCCTTTAACGGCTTTTTCATGTCCACCACAAAAACATTATGAATGGAATGTGTTACCATTTGGAATTAAGCAAGTCCCAGGAATTTATCAGAGATTTATGGATAATAATCTAGAAGGATTGGAAGATTTTTGTTTAGCATACATTGATGATATTATTATCTTTTCAAATAAAGATAGGATAGATCATGAAGAAAAACTAATAAAAGTTTTGGAAAGACTAAAAGAAAAAGGACTGGTAATTTCAAAAAAGAAATCTAAATTGTTAGTCAATGAAATTGAATATTTGGGAATGAAAATAAATAGTACAGGAGAAATAGAACTAACCACTAATGTTAAGGAAAAATTAGATAAATTTCCAGATAAAATGGAAAATAGAAAACAAATACAACGATTTTTAGGAAGTCTGAATAACATCAGTGAGCAAGGATTTCTAAAAAATTTAGCGAAGGAAAGAAAATACCTTCAGCAAAAGATTTTAGATAAAATCCCTTGGAAATGGGATAATAAGGATACAAAGATAGTAAGATTCATGAAGGCCAGTTGTGATCATTTACCAAAATTATATAACCCATGCGATCGAGATTTTCTTATTGTTGAGACAGATGCATCAAAGGATACATGGGCAGGATGCATGCTTGCAATACCAGAAGGTAAAAAGTTACTATCACTTGATCACTATGGCAATATACTCAGTAATGAATCGAATGATTCACACCATATCAGTAATGAATCGAACGATTCACCACTATCTCGATGCAGTAATGAATCAAATGATTCGAAACAATATGACTATACAATACCATTCAACACAGACAAATATCCAAGGAAGTTATGTAAGTATATATCTGGAACATTCTCTTCTACGGAGAGAAACTACCCAATACATGAGCTAGAGACACTAGCTTGTCTTAGAACACTGAAAAAATGGAAAATAGAATTACTAACCAGTCGATTCGAACTACGAACCGACTCTAAATATGTTACAGGATTTTGGAGATACAAGCTGGATGCAGACTTCAATAAAGGAAGACTCATTCGTTGGCAACAAATACTTCACTATTATCAACCATATCTGAAGTATATCAAGTCAACAGCTAATCCGTTAGCATACACCCTTACAAGGGAATGGAAGGAATAATGAAGCAAATGCAACATCAGCAACAGCAGAAGGAAGAGCAGATACGTACCCTTGAAGTTCAGGTTTCTCAAAGGCGGGGGGAATTGGAGCAGATAAAAACCACCATCACCATTCTGCAAACACAAACTAAAAGCACTGCTCAATCACAAACTATTCTGCAACAGCAAACTATTCAGCTACCATCTACGAAATGGGCAGACATGGTGGAAGAAGACGAGAAAAACGAAGAAGACGAAAGAAAATAAAAAAAGGGAAAATGGTATGTCATTTTCGACGGACCTTTTCGGGGAATCTATAACAACTGGGCAATAGTATCTCACCATGTTACGGGATACAACATCAAACACCAATCATTTTCAACCAAAGAAGAAGCAGAGCAGGCATTAAGAGAATCATACAAGGCAATTGCTATGAAACAGAAGACAAAGTCAGCCACTCCACAACAAAGATTAGTGATGAAGATACCAAGCATCAGCATTAAGGATATTCCAACCATGAAGCAAAAGGAAGAAATCAATAGACCTACACTTCAAAAATTCCAACAATGCTGGGAGGATCTTCTCAATTACAAGGAAATTCATACTACCATGGGCTTCTATCCAACCTTTAATGGAGGTCCAAGAGCAGTTATCATCACAGATAAAATCGCACCAACAACACTATTTAATCTCCATCAATATGGCTTAATCGACACAATATACACACAGAAGACTCATATTTTCGAAGAATTCCCAACAAAGTTCAAGATAGTTGTAAAAAGGTATCTAGACTCATTCGCCAAGGGTAGAGAAATCTATCTGCGATACACATCCAGCTATCCAATATTCAACAAGGAAGAAATGGTCGTGCCATCAAAAGCAATCATCAAAATGGGAGTATCTAATGACAACTATCCAACCAGAGATGAATTAGAAACAGCCAGGACACCAGAGGACTATCAAGTCAGATCATTATATTCAGTAAGTCAGGCCCTATATTATCTTAACCCAACATATAATATTAAAGTCAATTATACCAGCACCAACAAGATCATCATCAGCAATTCAAAAAATCAGATCACAGCGGAAGAATGGGGATTCATCACAGATCTAGCCAAGGATTTTATCAATCTAGAAGGAACGTTAGCCCCGATAACGTTAGAACAAAAACATAAACTTTGTGAATTATTATAGCTACACGAGGATCACATATGCACCCACTGTGCAGCAGATATGACTACCTCCACTAGTAGCAGTAATGGAATCAAAGAAATGTAATCCACCATAGGGAAGAAGACAATGCTTCAGGAATCAAATAAAGAAAAGAAAAGGCAACATCAACGAAGAAGAAGACAATACTTCAGGAATCAAACAAAGAAAATGACTAAAGATTCTTCTTTCTTTTTCTGATCAATAATGTAGCCCATAAGGCAAAAACGTGTGTACGGTGTGTTTGCTTTCTCTTTTAAGTGGAGAATGATGTAAGTACATATGTAAGCAGGCAAAGCCCCTGCATCTATAAATATGTACATCTGAACCTCATAAGGTGGCAGAGTAGAATAAAAGTTTGAGATTTCTCTCTCAAAAGACTAAGTGTAGTCTTGGTGCTTCGGCACAGAGCGTTTGAGATAATACTCTGGAGACGCTCATATCCACTACCACCTATCCATAAAATACTATACACCAACCATTAACACCACAAAGAATTCTCCAACACCATTTTCAACGATCATAAGCAATCAGCCTCCCTCGCACTACACCATCATGGGGACATTCAGTAGCAAGAAGTTGCATCAATCAACCTAAGCAACAATCAGGTATGTCGGATAACCCCAGTAGCAGTAACAGTTACTTTGATTAATTAAGTAAAAATGAGGAAGAAAATTATTTTCTAGATGGAATATTAGATGTCAAGAAAATTAAGGAACAAACTAATTTTATCTTATCAGAAACGCAAAATTTTATTACTAAGTCTTTTTTATCAAAACTATTTGATAGAAAAAAATATAATTAAATATGGAAATATGATAGGAGAAACGGCAGTACCAATAGAACAAACTAAGGGAGATTTTCTAATTCAAATAATAAATAGGGAACAAATAAGGAAAAAATTATCCAAGTTACAACAGGAAGAAAGAAATAAAACAGCTTATATTCACATTAGCACGATACAAATCATTCTAAAATCTACTATGAAAACAGGGATAAGTGCACCTATAGAACTAGAAATAAGAGATGATCGACTCATCAATAGAGAAGAGAGTATTATTGCAAAAGGAAAAGGAAATCTAGGAGTAGGAATAATCAAATTCGATATTAATCTACAACAAGGAATTAGTTTAACAGATGGGAATCTCGATTCTTCCATTATTATAAAGTATGAATTGAAAAGAAAAAAATTCATGAAAGAAAACAGTAAACCTTTTTCGGTAACATACCAGATAAACTATGCACTGACCAATAGTCATCATAGTCTAGCGTTTAAAGATAAGGAAGCCATCACCATAGAAGATTTATTCAAACCATTAATTCAATTAGACAATTAGAATCCCCTCTAAAAATAATAAAATCAAATTATGATCATCCAAGAATAAGTATAGATGAGAGAAGTTCTTCCATGAGACTAACCGATAAGCATAAGGAAATGGAGAAAGAAGAAAATAAGGAAATAAAAAACATAACTATACTTCATCAAAATGAGAATACTAGTGAAATAAAAAAGTTACAAGAACTAATTGTAGAAATGAGTGAAAAATTGTAAAGATCCCTAACACTCATTACATAAATAAATTGATAGAAGGAATAGATGCAATAGACCTTACATTAGTAGGCGACATTAATACGGTTACGTTAGAATTATCTCACTTCGTATCAGATATTGTAGAAGAACATATGTCTATCGGAAATTCAGAAACAATAGAGGAAGCCGTATCTAAAACTGAATTAATTACCGATATAATAACTAGTTTAAACAAAATAAAATAGAAACTAGAAAATAGATAAACCAAAAACAACAAAATGAAAATTAACCCCCTTTATTTGGGCCATTCCATGAAAGAAAAAGAAAGAATGAGACTTGTTGTAGAAAACAAGGAAAAGAAAGAATGATTAGACTCTTTAGTATACTTTTTGAAAATAAAGAGACGATTGAGACTTTTGAAAAAATAAGACCTTTTGATATGAAACAAAGAAATTTAGGAATTTGGAACCATAGAATTTTTGGTATCAGAGCCAATCGACCCAAACATAAAAATATAGAAACAAAAACTAAAATGGGAAAAGACCAAAAAGTGCAACCCGCTTCAACCCGACGGGTTCACTTTGACACCTATACTCATAGGAGGCAAAATTTTCAATACCATTACGAGGGATGGTTTTGTCGTTATATATATGTGTTATATCAATAACGAGGGTAGATTAACATCTTTGACGAGGAGGAAAATGTGAACCTCAGTAAAAGATGATCCATACCAATTTTATGCCTCTAAAGATGGGATATGATCCTCTCGTTAGTTTTTCCGGTCGTTATAGCCAACTTTTTTTGTAGTGCGCGTGCGGACCATCGGACGATTGAAAGAGGGGCTTGTCGACGGTGGAGTCGGAGAAGTCGTTGTTGCCGTGCTGGCGGTGGTGGTGGCGGCAGGCGGAAAACAGCGTGCTGGTGTGTCGAGGGAAGACAGCATGAGCCGCTGCAGGCATGGGCCTGGGGAGAGCAAGATGAATCACAGTCATTGGAGCGGCGATGTGGACGATATGGGTGAGTCGATTTTTAAACTACCTTTCGTGTTAAGTTTTTTTTTATTCTGACTGTTTGATTTATTGTGATACAGATTTTGGGAAGGGAAAAGACTTAGGTGAGGTTCTCCCTGTTGGGGAAATTGTTCATGTATACTATTTTCTTGCAACACAAGCAAACACATAAGATTAAGAAAACATGCAAAGACACATATGACCGTCCTAGCCGACAGAATTCACTGTCTCTCCTTAAAGAATCTTATTCCCCTCAAGTACCCAAGGTTATGGAATGATTCCTCCCAGGATAGAAAGGACGTACCTTTTCCGGCGTAGCGGTACCTCAAACCCCGGAAACCATCGAACGCAACAAACCGGTGAGAACCACACTTGACTCTATTTTCTCTTTGAAAAGAATGCAGAAAACTAGTTTGGATTTTGGCAGAATTTTCGTATCGGAAAAATCTATATCCTAAAACAAGAGGGGGTCAGGTGCTATTTATAGAAAATGAAGGGGTGCGTACGAAGGGAGGCGACTCTTCATATGGGTTGTTACACCCCAACCAACACATTGGTTCATGTTTGAAATAATGAACCATTGCATAAGTTCAGCCCATGGTAGTTGGACCGGTTTGGTTATTCCAACCGCCACATCGGTTCGGTTCGATTTGGTTCAAATCGGTTTGGTTTGGTCCGTTTGGTACACAAACCAATTTAACCGATTAACCACATATTACATCAAATCGATCGAATTCGAGGTCGTGCCTTCTCACATCTTACCAACATGGTACTTCAAGAGACTCTCTTGAAACTTTCCCCTTTTATTTCCATTCACACCACTAAAAATCCCAACAATCACCCACATGAATGGAGAATGTTGTACTTTAAAACTATGCAAAAAAAATCGGGTGATTCTCGACTAAGAATTAGTTGCATCGGAATAGGTAGGTTTCCCTTTGAACCTTCCTTAGTGAACATATATCGAGTATACTCACCAATCGGTAGGTGTGATATCTTTGAACCGTCGGTTTTGTTTGTATACTAAGACAACATATGTCACACAACTAACTCTTATCCGTTCACTGGTTCTCATTGTTGTGTTCGTTTTAGCCATGAACACCGTCTGGTCTCATGAGTGCTTAGATAACTGGCCTTCTTTTATTTTCCTTGAAGCGGCTCTACTTCACACTCACATAGGTGATTTCTAAACGTGTATTCCAAAAATACACTATTTGATCACACCACATGTCAAACTTAGAAACCATTAAAAACCTTCCATCTTTAGGTTTACCCTTATAGTTGGACATTGTCTCATCATGAGAATGGACTTTGAATAATTTGACAATGTCGGACCATCATTCACAACTTTGTTTTCTCCTTGAAACTAGAGGTTGGGTCTTCCAATCCTACTTAGGTAGAGTTACCGCCATGATGATTTGTCCTAGGCCACGAGTCCATTCCCTTCGATGCTTAAATTAATTTCTAGATGGCCCCCACGTTTGTTATTACTTGATCTAAACTTATCATCTTCGATAACTTCGCTAGAAATTAACCAATCAATAATGTTATGTTTCTACGAAGAGATTTTCACATTACACTTCTAGCCCTTGCAATAACCATTTTTGTGCACAAATGCGTTTTATTAACGCCAGTCTTTGCACGCCAAACTACTCAACTTCACCGGTCTTAGAGTTTAACTTGGAAGTTTTCCAAGATACTGCTCCTCGTTAACCATATATGCCTATCCATTAATGGACTATGGCTTTTGGTTCACCCATTGAGTTCCTTTGGGTAAAATTCACCAAAGACTCCTCTCTTTTCGATTCACTGCACATCTTATGTGTTTGCCTTGATTTTATTGCCTGTAATAATCAAAACACATGCCAACGGTGTTGAAGTCTCTCTACTTCATTAACCTTAGAGTACTTGAATTTCACAAGTATATCTTCAAATGTAGTGACATCTATGACTTAACTTAGGGTTTACGTAAAACTCCTAAGTATTCACATCACTTCACTTTGGAATCACCCAAGCGACATTCCACATCACTTCTCCCCAATTTATCCCCCATATTTCAACTATTTCGCCATAGTTGTTGAAACTAACGTTTCCGGTTTGGGGAATGTTGTTCATATACATTCATGTATATGGTCAAAATCATCTCTTTGGGAAGAGTGGATCAACATCAATAAATATTGTAGCTCTTTGACATAACGTCAATATATGCTAGAGTTTACTCATAAGTTATACCCTTGGACTAGGTTAACTCCACAAGGTTTAAGGACTCTCACTCTCTCATTGGACACCTTCATACTTTCAAGTATGACTTCGTTTACCTTTCCCCTTTTGTCTTCTGGATAGGTTTGCGTCCCATTGTAGGGTCTTGAGATAGTAGCCAAAACATGGGCTCTTCTCCCCCACAATTCTACCCTTTGCCAAACATCATGGAATAATCCCATTTATTTTTCATGGTTTTACTCATTGAACTTGCCAACCACTGTATGTATGATCTCACTCGATTAGCATACCACAAACAATTCATATTTTATTAGAAATATCATCTAATTACTTACCAATGGTATTGATCAAGGCAACTTGTGACGTCATAAGTAGTTCAGATGCATTCCGGTAATGGGAATCCCATCTAATTACTTACCAATGACATTTCATTTATGTAACATGATATACCACAAGTAATTCAAACGAATTTCTAATTCAATTGTCTAATTACTTTCCAATGGTATAAACTTCATAAATATACCATAAGTAATCCAGACTTTAAGTTCAATAAGATCATCTCAATTGAGCTCTCAATCTATATATACCATAAACAATTCTAGCAACTAGCTCCACGTTGATAATCATAGTCAAATTGTTTTCAATGGTATATGTACTTATACCATAAACAATTATGCCCTAATGCTTATCTTGATGACCACCACCATTTGGCAAGCTTATTCAATCCCTATAAGGATCAATCATAGCTTAATTTTCCGTGCCCTCGTGACATAGGAAACATCAAGTCCTAAACACATACATGCTAAATAAATTATCATGTCTTCACAAGCATCTTATAGGAATTAGAATACCTTATCGCTTATGACTATCTCGTGAACATAACGTTTAGGAACATATTGGAGGTATACTCTTTCACACTATGTCCAACATACTATGAACATAACTTGTTCATAGTTTTCCCACTAGATAGTTTACAACTATCCAAATCACCTTTTAGTCCACAAAAGGCTACCTTTAATACATTGTGAATTTTTTTAATTCAAAATATATTTGAATTTTCTTGAACTCTTCTCATAATATGAATTATGAGTTTGTTCCCATTTCAAATACTACAATGGTATTTGATCTCACTAACCAACCACAGTTGGTTCAAGAATCATGACTCGCTATGACACAACACCTAATAAAGGCCAAGTGTAACCAATGAAAGGGACTGCAGTATAGTGGCTCAAGTGATAAATATCGAATCCACAGGTCTCTAGAGTTACTATTACTCAGCTTCAGTTTATTATTTAGCAAATCAGATTAAGATGAAAGAACTAAAACTACTCTAGCAAACTACAGTTAAAGTTAATCTAATTACAGGTTGGGAACTCACTTAGGTATGATTCCCCCTAGCCACTAGCCAGATTAACGATTGATGATCTCTAACCTGTTTCACTTTCATTCACAATGCGGAGAATCCTTGACTAGACCTTGAGTCTCGACTAAAGGAACAAGGCCCTCTTGAGTCAATTGCCTAGAGGGACGTATCCTTCTCTAGAACAACTGATCAAGGCGTTCTGAACTAGACTCCCTCTATCGAAAGGGGTTCTCAATCGATACAAAGCAGTGAATCAACCCTCGACTAAAGCAATCGATCCACTACTATCAATCTATGGTGCTCTATTGACCTAATCAGGTATTCCCTCTCATAGGATCAAAGCAGAATCAATAATCTCGACTAAAGCAGAATTGAATCATGAAAACATGCATAGATTGAATATGAACTCAAGATTATCCAGTCAGAGTACTCATACAATCATCCAATCAAACAAACATAGCTAGGGTTCCTCAAAACCTAAGTGAAGGGAAGTTACTCCATAGAGAAGAGAGAGACTGCAGTAAGAATCTTCAGATGATCAGTCTTCAAGTCCGGGCTTGTTCCTCAAGCTTCCAAGGCGAAGAAATCCTCCAACTCCACTCCAAGAATGCCCTCAAATCGCCCTCTCTCTCTTTGGTTCATCCCTTGGGTGTTTGGGATCCAAAACCCAGCTCTCCTCTTCTCTTTTGGCTGAAAATCGGGTTTTAAGCAGAAAATCCCGACTCACACGGGCAGGGTGGCACGGCCGTGTGGCTTACCCAGTTGCCCGTGTGAGTCAAAACGCTGCGTTCCAATTAGTTCGAATTCCAGGCTCTTTGCACGGCCAGAGTGGCACGGCCGTGTGAACTTCCTTTTTGCCCGTGTTTGCTCACGCAGAATTCCACACGGCCAGACTGGCCTCTCGCACGGCCGTGTGGATGTCCTGCTCTGCCCGTGTTTGCTCTCGGCGAAACTCGCACGGCCAGACTACTCCTTCACACGGCCGTGTGATCATCAGGGCAGCCCGTGTGACCTCCTTTGTGACTTGTCTCGCGCCCGATCTTCGCCCAATCGACCCCGAACTCGCTCCTAAACCTTCATTCACTTGCCAGGACCTGAAATATCACAAACAAGCACAACCTAGCGTGAAATCGGTCTAAAACACGAGAAACCACATCTCCAACGGTGTAAGAACAGGGGTGAAAACATGTGTAACAAACGGTCTATCAAACTCCCCCACACTTAACCGTTTGCTTGTCCCCAAGCAAACCTAACTCAAACCAATGCAACTCTCCAGACCTCTATCGCAACAAACAACCCAGATCGTAGGTAGAGGACCTCCTAGATCATTTAGCAACTTACGAGGTCAACCGACGCACAAGTCACCTCATAACTTCTTCGGCGAGTCGGCATCATGGCA